ATTATGTTTGACAATACTCAAACTCTCTCCTAGTCTAACAGATACTCAAAACACACAATCTAATTTATATTAGCAAATGCTAAACATGACACACACCTACTTATTGAAACATTTCTTAATGCCCTGATGCACAGCAATGAAGGCTGCAGAAAGTTTGCAGTTCTTCTCCTCCAAGCCTAATGTAATCCTTCTCAGCCTAGGCTCCAATTGCAATTGAATAAACTTTCAGATTTTCCAGAATCTCTGCTGGCTGAAGCTGAATGAAGTATATTAGTCAAATGGCACTTAATATTATATTCATCACTATAGGTGGCTCTTTTGAAGGGCCCTTTTGCAATATTTTCAAAAATTACACAATTTATTAATAATTCTGGGTAACAGTGAACAAGTCAGTTAAGAGCACACTTAGATCTAAAGCCATTTTGCCTTGTGCATGCCCATCCCAAGGGACCAGCAGGTGAACTTCACCATCCAGATCAAAAGAACTGCTGCCCAGTGGCCCATTGCAGCTGATGAAGCAAGCACACAACTACCATCCCCACTGAGCCAAGCTCCAGCACCCCTAAATACAGGTTATCTCCTTTCCTAACTGCTCCATTTCCTCACTCTTGGCAAACCAGCACACGACACAGAATGGATCAGAAAATCCTTGCTAACAGCAGCAATATTCACTGAGCAATTCAAGTCTTCCTAAGAAATAAAAAAATTAAACCAGAGCATGTGGGGTGTTCCAGGTTAAAGCATATTTATACAACTGCAACAGTACATCAAACTACAGGGAAGTGAGTGGGAAGAGACAGATGAGCCACAGGCAAAATTTGATATGCATGAATTATTACACCAGTAATAATGTAATTAATGTAATTAATATGTACATCAGTACTTGCCCCATGTTGCAAGACATCTCACCCAGGGTGAAATCAATCACCAAATCCCAGAATATCAGGTTAGAAGGGACCTCAGGAATTATCAACTTTTCTCAAGAAAAGCATGGTCTAGACAAAATGGTCCAGCACCTGTCCAGCCAAATCTTAAAAGCATCCAACATGGAGGAATCCACCACTTCCTAGGGAGATTTTTTCAGTGGCTGATTGTTTTCATTACGGAAAATTTTCCTCTCCTCCAAAAACCTTATCAAGTTCAAGTTCAATCAACTCAGTATTAGTTGTGACCACACTATATTGTGTTAAAGTTGTTCTTACACCTTTAACCAAACTTTTATCCTATGAACTAAAAATTGTGAATTTGTTGCTTGGTTTTGTAACCATGTTGAGGGAAGAGGAGGGATAGAGAAAATGGCAAGTAGATAATTAGTACATACAGGAAAAAGACAAGGAAGAACAGCTGAAGGGGACCAAGGAATACTGTGAAGAAAACTCAAGGACAGGGAGTAGTCTGGGTAGACACTGCAAGACAGACAAGATGCAGGGATGGGGAAATGGGATAGAGCTGAAAAATTCAATATTTAAAGATTGGGTCATGTAAGAAAAGCTAATAAAGCATTTGGCAGGGAAAAAACAAGATAGGACAGGACACAGAACTGCAGTAGGACTGAGAGAAGGGAATGAGGAGACAAAAACCAGAAATTTAATCGAGACATATGACTACTTTTGCATGTCTAAGCTGCACTTTTCCAGCTACACATGGTAATGGGATCTTGCTCAGTTCTCTCCTAATCATGCATCCTGCAAATAACATCCGGCAATGCTTTCCCAGTTTCCTCTGAGTTCCATACCCTGTGAGAAAAGTTGATGCTATAGAGACAGTAACTTGTTCTCAGAAACTGAGTAGACTTCACAGCCCAGCCTTCCACCAGGAAACTGTTTGTGCTCAGGGCACATGCAGGGGACAAATCTGTGCCCAGATGATGACAGTTTATGTTGCCTTTCTGTCCAGTTAACACTCTGAGGCATAACCCTCTGAATTTCTGGAGTTGGATTCCAAAACATTGAGTTCATTTAGTCAGGAGCTGCTGAATAGCTTTGACAACGATGTGGGAATTAATGATCTCAGTTATAACTAAATAAATAACTAAAAAGCTATTTGTCACTGTTTTCCATCTATTTCATATAAGAAAACTAATATTTCCTTTGTGAGTAACATTTATTTGATCAGATGCTAAACCTTTTCATCCAATTCTTGCCTGATCAAATTTGTAAAGCACTTCCCTTCAAGTTTAAGGAAGGTTGACAGCTTTTGTATCCTTATCAAAACCAGAGATACACCTCTAGTTCTGCACAAAATAAAACGTTCAGTCTCCCTCTACTGGCACTGTATTAAATCAAACCAGAAAAAGGAAAAGAAAAACTAGAAAGCAAATGTTTATTGTTATCTTAGAAAATTCTATACAGAAGCAAAGCTCAAATAACAGAAGATTAATACTTTAATCATAGCTTCTAAACAAGTATTACAAAAAAGAATACTAAGGATCTTTCTGAATACAGCATGAGTCCCATTTAAAAGTATTATAGTTACTATACACATAGCACCACCATAGCAACATAGCTATGACAGAGAAATTATTTATATCTTTGGGAAATTTTCTATTAAAACTATTTCTTCATTAAAAATACAAGAGAATATTAATGAACTTTCTGTTTCTGTAACTTCAGCTTATTTTATATTGAATCAGATATAAGCATTCCTGCTTGCTTCCAGCCAGACTGACTTACAATTAAGCTAGATCTTTTTATTCCTAAATAAATTATAGATAATACATGGTTTTGGTTTGGGTTGTTTGTTTGTTGGCTTTTGGGTTTGTTTTGATTAAAACCAATCACAATTTGTGATTCAAGGAACTTCTGCTCTGCAATTTGATCAGTCAAAATATATTTAGTAATGAAAGCAAGCTGTCACTATATACAATATAAGAGATGTCTTTCACATACTCATACTTCGATGACAGCTGCAAAACCTCGTTGTTTTTTACAGAATTCTGCTTTTCTCAAATGATCAAGTGTATAAAGCACTCTGCTTGTTTCTAATTTGGACTTGAAATATTTCATAGTGCTTCCAGACAAACATATATCTTTTCTTACCCCAAATAAGTCAAAATCACAAGAGTAAGAGAAACAAGTGCCATGTCTGCCACGAGGCCATCACTGTGATTTCTGTCTGCTAATTTTCTTCACTGGAGAATTTATTTAAATTTAGGTTAAAAAAGTATTATTAAAATGAAACTCTTCATTCATATATCTTACAAACCAGAAGTACTATACAGTGTACTGATTTTATCATATATTCTATATATATTCTATATTTTATCATACATTCTATGTACTGATTCTATCTATATTCTATAAACATTCATGTGTCCAACCAAAATGCATTTCACTCTGCAGTGAGTTTTATTTTCTATGGTAATACCTTTTTGAATGCAAAACAAGCATCACCCGCTAAGGACAAGGGTCGGCAGCATAATGAGAAACACAGTAAGTTATGAAGTTGTCCCTGTCAGCTGTTCCCCCACATTTACTCTACTCACTCTGGGGTTCAAGTGCTGCAGGCACTGTGCTGGCTATTGGATTGTATTGGATCTGAAGCACAAGCAAGTCAGATGTGGGCTCCCAAAGCTGTCAGGGGCCAGGCCTCTTCTGTGCACCCAGCAGAGACCAAGAGCCAGCACAGGTCTAAGACTGAGGAGTCGACGGCTCCCTGTGTGAGCTGCAAAACTCACAGATCCTCAACTTTCAGACACTGAACACAGTTTTGAGCATAGAGTTTTTGAAATATTTTTTTTTCTACCTGTAGAATCAGATTAGAGCATCATAAAAACCATGCCAGAAAACAAGAGATCAAATTTATCAGCCCTGTAATTTTTGAACTAACTGAAATTACCACTAGGAGTTAATTTGTCAAGCAGTAATCAAAAAGGGTTACACAGAATTTCCATCTTTTCATGAAACAGTACTTGTTTGCAATTGGTGTGTACAGATTGCTTAATGGTAGCACTCAAAGAGCTGAATGTGAACTTAAGGTTAATTGAAAACTACAGTTCTACCTCTACACAGAGATTCCACTATGTGGGGAAAAAAAAGCATTCAGAATTTACAGTCAAATCCTCTAAATATGTAGAGGATTCAAGTAGTCTTATTTAAAAGGTGATTACAGTATATGCTTCCATACTGCTGGCATGGAGGCCTTGGTTATCAAGCTGATGTTAAGAAAGGCGTTTTGGGAAGAAATATGCCTACACAGAAGATGACAGCAAAAAACTTTCATGCCAGGTTTAAGTAAAACAAAGGAATGCTTTTAAATGCTTAAAAATTAAGTTTCACATTAATACACAAGCTCCTACCTTGACTACATTAGCACATGCCACTACAGTAAAATTGTTTCAACAAAGTCTTTACATGCACCTCAAAGTTCCTACAGACATTTTTATGAAAAGACCATGCTTTATTTACTGTACCTGAACATTTCTGTACCTGTCACGCTGCATGTTAATGAAAAAATAAGATGGAACATTAGGTTATTTTCACACGTCCTTTCCAAAGGCATAATTTCTATTTATTCTTACATATGACGTTACATGAAGTTTTACTTTAGAAGAACTACCAAAAAGCACTTCAGTCTATCTTAAGATGACAACTTTGCCAAGTCAAATAAAAAGGTTTTACTGTGCAGGGAAAAAAGGATAAACAATTAAAGAACATTATTTCTTCTCTTTGCCACACAATGTTTCAAAAACCCCCAAAACACTGATGCTGATAAAGGGCTTTGAGGGAAGTAGGTTTGTTTTTACTAATACTCTTCACCTTGGATCAACTTGGTAGAAAGGAGTTACACAGAATTAACAGCTGAGTCTACTGCAGCCTACCCAGCTGAGCTAGTTGAACTTTGTCTGTTTCCAGGTAAAACTGACATCATTAGGAGTCAGTCATAACTAAGGAATAGCACAGCCTGGCCTCTTGACTTTAAATTAAGAGTGAGGGCTTAAATGAAACACTGCCCACATGAATGAAACAAACTATTTACACAAGTACACAGAACGTACTTACAACGTTTCTGGGAAACTGCCTGTAAACAAGCTGTGACAATGTCGCAGTTCTTCTGGACTTTTTGTACAAGCCTGTCTTTCTGCTTCAGAAGACGGAGCAACTTTGCCGATTGAACGGAAATTCTGTGATTCAGTTCTCGTTTTATAGTTGTTAATTCATCAACATCTGCCAACAAGCAGAGAAAACAACTTCAGTACATGCCAAAAGATTCAAAAGCAGCTTATTGTAGTTGACACACAAAGGCACTTGCCCCACAGACATTTACAAATACAAGCTTTCTATAAATGACAAGTTCTATTGACTGGGGTAATTCCCAGTTAGAAACACCTTCAGAATCTGAGCCAAAGTCTTTAATTTTCTTTTAAACAGAAGTACTTCAATTTATTGCACAGAGTATGAATCTTAACAACTATACTGTTATTAACTCCTAGGAACGTGACAGATACAGACAAAATATGTCAACGAGTGCAACCAGGGGATACATTTTAAATACAGTACCTTCCAGAAGCTGCCTGGACAAAATATACATTTGTAACAGACAAGGGAACATGTTCAAGAAGCTGCCTGCAGAGCTACAAATGCAGCTCCAGAATTAGCTCTAAGTGGGAAATTCTTTCCACTAAGATGCAGCTAGATGACTTCTGTCATGGCCTCAGTTATCCCCAGCGGCCAGTTATAGCACCACCAGACCCCTTCAGTTCATCAAAATGTCTCGGCTTAGTTCTAATATTCCTGTTGTCCCCACATGAGGTGAGCTTCAGGACCAGAGAAGGGAGTTGTGGGGAAGATGTCCTAAGTCCATTAATTTTTCTGAATCCTCTGCTCTGTTCTCAGATGCTCCCCCCACCAGTGAAATCCTGGGTCTTGCCTATCACACGCTGACCTCTTCAGCTCCTCCCTGCAACAGCCTGGTACAGCTTGCCACCAGCATCTACACAGCTGCCTGCTCCCTGCAGCTAACTTTTCAAACTATCACTTTCAGTGCAACCCCTGTCCCCTGACACTGGAAAGAAAATCAATCCAAAAAATCCATTCTTCAGTAACTTGATCTAATGACAAAAATACATACCCATCCAAAAAAGCTACTGTCAGTGGGATGGTAAACAGCTCAGCTCGTGTGGCAAAGCTGTTTCAATAATTCTGGAGAGCTTAAAGAAAAGGAAAAATTAGGCTGAAATGACCATCAACCATGGTCTAGTGAAAAGTATGATTGCAAGGATGGAGGAGCCACTGAAAAAACAATACTGTATTTTATAGCCACTACACTGTTTCAGCACCTGCTGCTCAGATGCAATTCCCAACCACCTGTACCAGACAAGGTAATTTAAAACTAGATCTATGGATTTGAAAGCAAAAAAAAAAAAAAAAAAAAAAAAGGAAAAAAAAAACAACCAAAAAAACCACAAAAAACAAACCCACCAACCAAAAAACAGAAAAAACCTGTTGTATTTGTACTAATTTATACAGCCACCAACAGAGTTGTCTGGTGAGTTTTACTCTTTTCCACTTGTGCCGCTTAGCTGTGCCTCTAAAAAAAACAGTAACTGGGCAGCAAAACAAATGAGTTGAAACACCACAAAATATATTTCTGAACAAGAAAATTTCCTGTTGAGTCGCAGGTTGCCAAAGGACACACAGAAGAACTTGAGCTACATCCTAGTAACATCAGAAGGCGTGTCATCTCATTAAGAAGCCAAACAAGGAAGCAGATAGCTGTTTGTACAGCTCTGAAAAACAGGCATATTTAGTCACCTCTTGGGTTTTTTCCTCATCAAAAGCAAAAGTGATTAAACATCAGGAGACAAGAAGCCTTTGTTCTCTTTTCCTCTTCATTGGATCAGCTTGGAGTTGCACTTCTCGGTCTTTCACAAACATGCACTGTTGAGGCTACCTAACTTTCATTAGAATTCTTTGAAAAATTCATTTAGATTCTGATTGACTCCAGCATTTACATTCTTCATTAAATTCCTTTTTTTTTTTTCAGAAGACATGCCGACCTCCAAAGCTTTACAGTTCTCCAGTTTAGTTTATGTCCAGTAGAAGTAAAAGGCTCTGAGAAAAACTCTTACGATACTGTGTGTGTAGCATCTCTTCTAGATTCTGAAAATAACGACTGAGTGAAAGAAAAGAAAGAAAAGAAAGAAAAGAAAGAAAAGAAAGAAAAGAAAGAAAAGAAAGAAAAGAAAGAAAAGAAAGAAAAGAAAGAAAAGAAAGAAACTGGACATTTATTAATTACTATAAGTGAGGAAAAGCACCAAACTCGCAGAAACACAAAAGCTTAGGCAGTCTGTCACAGGAACTAGTAGCAGACGACCCTAATTCGGCTCCTGGGGCACCTGAAACAAAAGAGGGGCCAACAGCACAGGAGGCCCCAGTCTAAAGGAGTTCTCAGCTAACAGCACGTGGGAAGCTTCTGGGAGCCACGGCCATGCAGAAAGCCTGGAAATGGACATATATGCACACACAGACACGTGCGTGCAGGCACGGAGGGCACCTTCGGGCAGGACTGCCTTGCACGCACAGAGGAAAAGCGAGGCGCCGGGGCAGCTCCCGGCCCCGGCAGGGCAGGCGGGCGGGGCGGGCTGTACCTTTCAGCCGCAGGTACTTGACCTGGCTCTGCCGCTGCTGCAGCTCCCCGAGGGCGCGGGAGCGGGCGCTGCCCGAGGGCACGGCCGTCTCGGCGGCGCTGTACAGCTCGGTCAGCAGCCCGCTCACCAGCGACGAGGTGCGGCTGGACCGGCCGCTGCCGGGACCCGCCTCGTCCTCCTCCTCCTCCTCCTCTTCCTCAGCCAGGCTGTCGGCGCTGCTGCCCGCCCTGCCACCCGCGCCGGCCTCCGCCGCATCCATCTTCCGCGCCGCCGCCGCCGCCGCCGGGTTCCGGGCTCTGCGCGTCCCACGGTCACACGCCGGGGAGGGGCGGGCAGGAAAGGGAAGCGGCCCGGAGAGCCCAGGCAGGAGCGCCCGGCTCCGCTCCCTCCCCGCGCACCGTGGTAGCGGCCGGGGCGGGGGCGCTGCACCTGCCGAGGGGCGGGGACCGCGCTCCGCCTCGGGGCGGTGATCCCGGGCGCGGTGACACCGGACGCGGTACCCGTGCACCGTGCGGCTGCCGCGGAGCTCACCGCCGTCCTGCCGGCCGTCCCGCTCCCGCTCCCCCGCTGGCGGCACGGCCCGGTTTTGGCAGCAATTCAGTACCTGTGCTGTGGCTGGTCCCCGCGACACCGCCTGCAACCCGGAGCGGATGGCGGGGTCCGTACGGCCGCCAGAGCCGGGCTCTGGCTGCGGCACCGGTGGCGGTGCAGGGAGGCCCGGCCACATGCGTAACAGCCACGACTAATTCAGGTCAGGAATGGGCAGAATCACAGAATGGGTGAGGTTGAGTGCTCCAACCTCCCTGCTCAGGCAGGGTCATCCCAGAGCACACTGCACAGGACTGCGTCCCGCCAGTTCTTTAGTGTCTGCAGTGAGTGAGACTCCACAACTTCTCTGTGCAACCTGTTCCAGCGCACAGTCACCAGCACAGTAAAGTTCTTCCTCTGTTCAGGTGGAACTTCCTGTACATCAGTCCCAGCCCGTTGCCTCTTGCCCTATGGCTTGGCTGAGATGGCCATTCTCCTGCCCAGAAGAGCTGCCTGTATCCTGCCGGCACGCCTCCCGCGGACGTTTCCCCAGCCCCCGGCGGCGCAGCGCGGAGCTCTTGCCCGCAAAGCGCCTTCGCGGGCGGCCCAGGGCGGGGGCGGGGCTTGGGGCGGGGCCGCGGCGGCCGCCCGGGCCACGTGACTCCGCCCCCCGCGCTCCCGGGTCATACGCCGGGGGCGGGGCGGGCCCGCGCGCTGCTGCTGCTCCGGCTCCGCGGCCGCTCCGCGCCTGTGGCGGCCCCGCCATGTCCCCCACCGTGTCCCCTGCCGCGCTGCTCCGGGCGCTGCCGCTGGCCGCGCTGCTGCTGCTCGGCCCGGCGCGGGCAGTCCGGCAGGCGCGGAGGCCCAACGTGGTGCTTATCCTCACCGACGACCAGGACGTCTGCCTGGGCGGCATGGTAACGCTGCGGCGGGGGGCGCGGGGCTGGCGGCAGTGTGGCATGGGGGGCTTGCCGCCCGCCCGGGTCTCGTACCGGGCTGTGGGACGGCGAGACCGAGCTCGGCGGGCGCGGTGTGGGGCGAGGGTCGCCCGGGGTCGCGCTGGGCCCAGCCCGGAGCCGGGCAGGGGCTCACTGCGGTCCGAGGCCAAGCAGCCCCGCGGAAGGAGCGTCACGGTGGGGATGGCACGGGTGGGATGAGTCGCTCTGCGGGGCTCGGGGCGCCGGGGCTGGGGCCTCTCTAGAACAGCCGCTGCAGACAGATATTCCTGTAAACACTCCACACTTGGGCTCGCTTGGGCCCGCTTGTGCAATCGCTGTGGCCACGCCAGGCCCTAGCGAGAAGGAAAGGGCACTCTTAGTGTCTTGCCGGGGTGGTTCCTAAAACCTGTGGTGTTGGGCCTTTTTCCAGGCAGCCTGCTTCAAGTCCCTGGCTTCACCTGGCATCCTTGCATTTTTAGCTGATACCTTTTTGGTGCTTTCCTTTCAGACCCCCCTAAAGAAGACTAACACTCTTATTGCCCAGATGGGAATAACCTTTGTAAATTCAGTAAGTGTTTGCATGAACGGTATGAACTTCTGAGGCGTGTGCGTTTACGTATTTTGTATCTTCGCTCATCTGAGGTCTCAAAAAATGCCATCAGCTTCATGAAACCTGTAGATATGGATGTGAGGTTTTTAAAACTCAATTGCTACCTACTTTTAGGTCTCAAAATGAATATAACTTAAGGGGAAGTTCAAAATCTGTAGTTTCACTTTCTGAAAGCACTTGTGCTCACTTCCTTAATCTGTAAAGTAAAACTGTGTAGTCTGAATATTAAAAGAAGCTGCTCAAACCTTTCATCAACCTCATGCACAATGAAAAGTCACTTAACTCTTTTCATATTCTGGTGTACCTCCATGGCTAAAATAATGGAGTGAGTCAACAATCAGACAGTATTTTAGTGGCTTCTTGCCTAAAAGGCTATGTCCTGTCTGGTGGTCAGAAGTTGAAGGGCATGTGCTCCAGAGGCCTGAAACTGGTTTCATGTGCAGTTTTTTACTAGTGAAAATACTTAAGGTATAATTCTGGGTGTCCAGAAAGAAGTAAGTTTTACTGTTTAATATATTAGTCAACCTGTTAGCTGATATTTAAAAACTGTAAATTTTGGCATAAAATTGTTATACTATCCAAGTCTTAAATCTCCTCATTCTGTTTTTCCAGTATGTCCCCAGTGCACTTTGCTGTCCCAGTCGAGCTAGCATTTTAACAGGAAAATATCCACATAATCATCATGTCGTCAATAACACTCTGGAAGGGAACTGTAGCAGCAAGTTGTGGCAGAAGATTCAAGAACCATACACCTTCCCAGCACTGCTCAAAGCTATGTGTGGTTATCAAACATTCTTTGCTGGAAAGTATTTAAATGAGGTATTTGGGGGTTTTTTTTGTGTTTTTGTGGTTTGTTGTAAGAGTCAAGTGTTCACTGAGGCAAATTTGTGGGAGAACAGGTATTTTCAGAGCTCTTTTACAGCAGTTACCCAACACTTTATTATTGAGTCACTTGTATATGTGTGCTTTAGTTTTTTTGTCTTTGTAACTAGGATATAGTTTCTAGTAGTTCATAGTAAGATGTAAAATTCAGCACCGAAAGCTGTAAGGCTGTGTGTTCCTTTTGTGTGATGGATTTGGATTAGGAGCTGTATGAGCTACAGGGTTCTTAACAGCATGTTTTCTTTGCATCTCATGCTGGAAAACGGTGGGATAATAAAGCAATGGAACATGAATCTTCATAGCCAGGCACGGGTTTGTCTGCTGATGTTCCTGAGGGAGCAAGGGGAAGGGAAACTCAGCTGGCTTCCTCTGAGCATCCCTTGACTCAGCAGAGTCTCTCATGCCTGCTGTTAGGGGAGCCACGTAGATTGGAGAGGGCTGCCCTGAGAAAACCCCTTGTGTTGCTCTAAGGCACCCTCTGTTTTGAGTTTGGCACTGACTCAGCAGCTACTTTCCCTATTTTGCTTTCTTAAAGGCTAGTTGTTGTAGATTATTTGGCACTGAGGTGGCATTACTTGAAGTTCCTACCCCTCTTGGGGGAGGATGAAGGAAGCTGCTGGTCTGTGTGGCATTCTCTTTAGTATCTTGTGAACTATTATCACAAAGCCTGCAAGTGGCTTGTCACATGGATGTTTTGATCACTGCTCATTATTTGATATGTACATTATGTTCTCCAGGATCTCTGCATATTTTCACATGCAGAATGGAGCAGGGAGTAATATTTAAATTTTACTGATGGTTGCTAAGCTTTCAGTTACTGTCTAGTTATTGAACCCTGGTTTCTTTAATAAGCCCTCCATGTGTTTTTATATGCATATATATGTGGTTTTCCACATTCTGAAATTGAATTTGGCTTGACATGGTGTTGAATAAAGCACATGAATATGAAACATAATGTCTAGCTTTGATTCATCATAATTGAAACTGTGAGTCATGTTCTCTCTTTTTTCAGTATGGAGCAGAAGATGCAGGGGGAGTAGGTCATGTCCCTCCTGGATGGAGTTTTTGGTATGCTTTGGTATGTGACTTTTTTTTTTTTTAACAACTTAATTTTTGTTGCTTTATAATCCAACTCATGTTCTAACTTTGCTGGTCATGAAAGAGCAGGAAAAGAACATCTAATGATTTAATGAAAATTTTCTTTCCCTTTTTCCTTAATTGTACATTGGATCTGTGGCTTTTACAAGGGGTACTCCTGTTGAGTGCCTGGAGAAAAGAAAGCCATTTGTAAAGCCAGAGCAGTGTGAGATAGCACTAAAACCAGTTTTGTTGATGGAGACCACTTCTGAGAATTTTTGCAGTGTCCTTATGGCAAATGCTCGTAATCTATTTGACAAATGCTCAGAGGGAATTAATTTGGGTTATTTCAAGTAATCAACGTACATGTTGCTTTGAATAAGTATCTGTGTCACTTTTCTTTTTCACAGGAGAAAAATTCAAAGTACTACAACTATACTCTCTCAGTAAATGGCAAAGCACGAAGGCATGGCGAGAACTACAGTGTAGATTATCTGACAGATGTACTGGTAAGAAATTTTGCACTGTGTGGTACAGAAACTGCTTATGACCAGATAATGCCTCATGCTGGGGACTTGGGAAAGGCTGAGATAATTTATTAGGCTGTATTAATTCACAAATGGACAATTGTGCTGTCGTGAGGGTGCGTGGCACTTATCAGCAAAGCAAGACCGAGTATATTTAAAAGTGACAGGCTTATGTTTGAGCTGTGCAGAGGAAAGGGGTTCCAGCCTTTTGCTAGCCAGTAGCCTCACTGAGGAGTTAATACTGACTGCTGTGCTGCAGGAGAAACAAGTAGGCAGAGATTTAAATTACTTCATACAAGGATATGTTTCATTATAATATGCAACTTCTGTAACAGATTAACTGGGTCAGGATTTCAGCAGGAAGCATGTAAAAATAAACTTCACACCATGTTTTGTTTCTAAGGTATTATGATGTGTTAGTATCTTGTAGTCTCCAACTCCATCAGTCTGATAACTTGTAAATATTAAAGCTTAATCAATCTTTCATAGTATATGAGGGCAATGTGTAGCTGTTCAGGGGAGGTTTTAGCCTCTTTATCTGCATAAAATAAAGACAGGTAACAAAGATGTCAGATCCTTTAAGGAGGGATGGAAGAGTTACTTTAGCTCTCTCAAGGCCCTGTTTGGCAAGGGGCTGGGGGGAGGGGGGGGGGGATTGTCCCCCTGTCTGCCAAGCTGGAGTCATAATTTGATGTGC